TCCCCAGGGAGCGCCCGAGGGACCCCCGCGGCCCGGAGTGTGGAGCGCGGCCTCGGCGCCGCCCCCGCCGAGAAGTTGCCGGGTCCGCGTCCTGCGTCTGTTTGCAGGGGTGGAGGAGGGTGGGCCGGTGCCCGGCTGCTGCTCCGGGAGGGGGCGGGGGCCGCGGCGTCCCGGGTCGCGCGTCCCTCCCGCCCGCTCCTCACGCTGCAGCGTGCACTCGCCTCGAAAATGGGATCCCTGAAGGACTCGAAGCCTCCAGGCCACCCCGCTGCCAAGTTTGGTGCGTTATTCGATTGCATGTTTGCGCTTGAAAAGAAAAGAGAGAGGGAACCTGTCCCCTTCGGGGTGTTTATTTTTCTTCCCTGTTAAGAAGTAACGGAGTCTGTCCTTCCTAAAATTTCCATGGAACATGCCTGTCAGAGGTGCAGTCTTTCTGGTTGGCAGCGTCTTGGGTTTTAAGAAGATGTTCTTAGGAAATCCCCGCACTAGTGAGTTAATTGAAATTTGAGTTTGTTTGCAGCTTCAGTTTTATTTGATCCAATTAAAAATGCATAAGCAAGCGCTTTATATTTGTGTACATAGAGTATTCCTAGTTTCTGTTATGACTAGTATGAGTGTGGTTTCACGAGTGTGGGATCTAATAAGGCAGTATAATTCAATTTTGAGCTTGTAGGCCTGTGTTCTCCAAATTAGGGTTTACAGACCATTAGTAATCTGGCCGAGGTTTCTAGTGAATCCCTGGCATCTGCGAGCGTCCTTCTCTGTTGCTGTGTGTGCCTTATTCTCCACCCGTTAAGAACTGTTTCATTCTGGTGTAACGATACGCGAAGAGAGAAAATAGATACTTTAAATATTTGCAGTTTTCAGAGTGTCTGGAATATTTTGGCTAAGACTTGATTATTATTTCCTTAATGGTATATAAGGATATCTAGCCAGTTGGTCCCCAAATTGGCATATCTCATGAGAATCTGCATGAGGTACCTCTGGAAAAGTCTGGAGAGGAAGAAAGCTGCTCTGCTCCCAGGGCTGGCTGGGATTGTTTTGACTTACTGTGATGGGGGTTGAGGGGGTCCCATTGGCTGTGCATCTCATAGCAGTTGACTGGAAGCCAAGTTGGAAGATGAGGTTGGCAGCCTCAGAGTTTTTGTGAACTTTGTGGTTCTCTGGCTACAGAAAGATTTGAGATCTGTGTATGATAAAATGATTAGGCATGAGTTGTCAAGTAGCGTGCCTCATGCCAACTGGAGCAGGTGGTTTTATATAAGCAGTGCATCCTTCACTGTAACCAGAGGCCTGGGAAAATGTGGAGTGGCATGACTCAATTTTGGAGTTCCTTCTGTCCCAGGACAGATTTCATAGGTGGATTATGAGTCTTTTTGTATTTGAACTTTTTTTTTTTTTTGATTAGTGAACTATTAAAAGCTAACCTGAGGGCAGGGAGATGGGCTCTGCTGCACAGTGCTTGCCATGCAAGCATGAGAACTAAGTTTGGATCCCCAGAACCCACATAAAAAGCCGGGCATGATGGCTGGCTTCTGTAAACGTAGAGAGGCAGGAGGATATCTGGTGCTTGCTGTCCAGCTAGTCTAGTGGCATTAATGAGCCTCAGATTGAGTGAGACACCCTGTCTCAAAAAATAAGGCAATGAGCGATTGAGGAAGAAATGACAGCTTTTGGCTTCCAACACACACACACACACACACAGTTCCAACACACGCACACACACAGAGCCTTCCAACACACACACACACACGCTCACACACACACACACACACACACACACACACACACACACACAGAGCTAACCTATACAGGTCTCCCCCAACCCACCTCATTTGTTTTGGAATCTCATAGTAAGTAGTTTGAGATGCTTTTCTTGGTCTATGTAGTCCTTCTTGGTGTAGTGAAATCAGAGTTTCTCTGTGGTGGTATGGTCTCTCTAGAGTCTGGATTTTTTTTCTTTGCTTTTTACATTTAGCTTTTCGGTTATAGCACTGCACATTGGATATGATACTTTTACCAGAACTTTTAGGTATCTCTTATCTTTATAATTTTATGGTTATTAATATAGTAGGAGGGTCTCTGACTCCTCAGTGTATAATGTAATTCAAGGCAGAAACCACACGGGAAGTTGAAAAACCAGTTAGAAGTGGAGTGGAAGAACCATGTCTAAGCCTTCCATTTCTGGAGGATCCATTGGCAGTTTTTAGTATTTATTCATCTACTTTTTTTTAACTTTTAAAATTTTATTATTTTTATTTTATGTGTATGCGTATGTTGCCTGCATGTAGGTAAGTGCACTCATGTCGTGCAATGCCCGCAGAGGTCAGAAGTGGCTGTTGGATCCCTTGGGACTGGAGTTACGGACAGTTGTTAGCTGCCATGTGGATGCTGGGATTCGAACCCAGGTCTTCTGCAAGAACAGCCAGTGTTCTTAACCACTGGGCCATCTCTCCAGCCCCTCATCTACTTTTCTTATAACTATCTCAAATACCAAAGAAAATCTGCAGCAGAATTGTATCTCTTTTGGAACCACTCTTGGATTTTCCTAGTTTAATATTACAGAATGTTTATCAGGAACAATGTTCCCTGAGGCTACAATGTCTTGGAGATCTATGGTTTATATAAATTTGAAAGACATTTTTGGTTTCCTTGGAAGTATGGCCTAGTTTGTGGTTACGCCTTTCCTGTGTTAAACCATGAGGCTTCATGACCTCAGGCTTCATCTTGCTGTGAGTGCCTGTGCTTTGCAGCTTTCATGGAAGTCTGATGGGAACAGCCAATGGGTTGCCCTTGTACCACACATGCTTTGAACCCCTTGGAACAGGTTTAGGATTGAGTCCCCTTGCAAAAGTACCTTTGGTACAGGACAACGACAATATCCAAATCCGCTAGGAAACTGCTCTCTTGTTCCTTCACTTTCCCCCAGTGGTTGCATTGCTTATTGCAGAGCCTTCTATAATTTGTTCTTAATAAACACTTCTACTTCCATCCACAGCTTATAAAAGCTTTGATTTAGTTGAAGTAAAAAGCTGCAGTGAATTCAGTGCTGTTGCCTGCATTCTTCTGGACCAGATTATTATACTGGAAACTCTTTGAAATACGTAAAATAATAGCTAAGGCTTGGGTATCAAAAAGGAGAACATTTTTGTTCTCAGTGGAATGTGGCATACTTGTGAGGTAAGCAGAAGAGAACTGGTTGAATACCTGGTGTGTGTCCAGTATCAGCAAGTCTGGGACTGTAGGGGTGAAAAGAACCCCAGCTTCTTTTATTTTTTTTGTTTTTTTTGTTTTTTTTTTTTTGAGACAGGATCTCCCTGTAGGCCCAGCTGGCCTGGAACCACAGCTGGCATAGACCACACTGGCCTTGATCTCACTGAGATCCACTTGCCTCTGCCTCCCAAGTGTTGGGATTAAAGGCATGTGCTACCAGACTTGGCTGTACCCCAGTTTTGACAGCCTCTTCATGGAACTGGGCTGCAGTTTAGAAGTAACATACTCAAGAACACTAAGCTAGTAAAGAGTAAGGCCAGGGGGCTAGAGAGATGGCTCAGTGATTAAAGCATTGACTGCTCTTGCAGAGGACCCAGGTTCGATTCCCAGCACCCACATGACAGCTAACAACTATCCATAACTCTAGTTCCAGGGGATCTGATTCCCTCTTCTGACCTCTGCAGTCATTGCATGACACAGTTGCCTCTACCTACCTACCAGCAGGCAATATACTCACACATATAAATAATAAACAAATATTTTTAAAAAGTGTAGGGGCAGAGTTTAAACCCAGATCTTTGCAATCCAAAACACATAACCTTTTACCAGTAGCTCTGAAGATTCCTTTAAAAGCTTGGATATGCCGTCTAGTTTTAGTAGTGTGGTGCTTGGTTGACTAACACACCTTTCCCAAGTTTATACATGCATCACATTTTACTTTTCATTGGAATACAGTGAACTTAGACGTTCAGGTATGATCTGGTGCGTAGTAATCGTGACGTGCACAGGGAGAATGCAGCCACTTTTTCCTTGCCAAAATGTTCTTTTCTTTCGCTTGTGTTGTGGAGGTGTTGATACCCTCGTGAGAAATTCTTCTTCTTCCATAAAAGTCCTGAAGGTAGTAAAATAGAGTTACCATCACTTTTCCTATCCTGAACTAAATTGTTTGCATAAAATCCAGAGAAAAAATATTTTTGTCTATAGTTTGTGTTTATTGGGTTTTATAGTTTGTGATAAGGACTCTGTATATTCTTTGTCCCTTGTCACTTGCCATTCTTGTTCTGTTCTGGGGCCTTTAGAGTATGTGTTGGTACATGGGCCATAATTTAAATAGCCCCTGTTTTGAAACATTGTTTTTAAGCTAATGAACTTTTTTTTCTGTATAATCATGAGGAATGACTTTTTTTTTTTTTTTTTTAATCTCTTTGAAACAGTCTCCCTGTAGCCCCAGCTGGCCTGGAACTCACTATGTAGACCGGGCTGGCCTCAAATTCACAGAGATCTACTTGCCTCTGTCTCCCAAGTTCTGAGTGCAAAGGCATGTGCCACCATGCTCAGTAACAAAAAATTTTTCAACAAGGAAAAGACCTGATTTTTTTTTTTTTCAACAGACTCCTATGGTGCTATTTGTT